CAGCGGCATCGATGACAAGGCGTTGGCCTCCGCCGCCGTCTGCCCCGGTCGTGTCGGGCGTCGCAACAGCAGCCTCCAGGCCGCCTGCGTCATTGGCGAAGCCGCCGTTGCCGTCAGTTGCTCCGTTCATGGGTGCCTACGCACTCTCGGGGAAAGCAACCCAGAGACAGCAGAGCTGAGATCGACGCTAATCGTGTGTGCTTATATAGGCAGATAAAGTTGACTCTAAACAGAAAGTAAAGCGTAGAGATGGAAAGAAAAAAGGTGGGCCTTAGAATGTCGGAGAATCTGTCGTGGCGGTCGCGTCGGCCCCAAAGGAAAAGCAAACAGTCGGTGGGAGGCAAAAAAGATGGGAAGACGCATGTCAGAAAGTATGTGGTGGCGGTAAGTGTTGGCTCTAAAGAGAAACAAAAGTAGCTGACAACGATATTTTGCGAGCGTTGCTCCAAATATATATATATAATTTTAATACTTTTTATGTAAAATATAGTTTATTGAATATTTATTCTAAAGAGAAAGTAAGCAGATGGAATTTTATTTTTTTAAAAAAAAATAATATTCTTAATTAAAATTTTTTCACCACACCAAAAATACTGTAAATAATATAAATAGACTCCTAATATCAACCAAACTAATTACAAGCCCAAAAACATGATAATATAATGCTTTATGAACAATAATAAACAAAGAGATATTATTTGATGTCACTTATAGTATTTTTTTAATAATATTTTTAATACATCAATAAAACACAAAGCAGTATAACAATTGAAAACTGTATGAGTATTTTCTAGGATTAGAGAGCGAGCGAGAGAGAGAGAGAGAGAGAGAGAGAGAGAGGGGTGTGAGGAGGAGACCTTCTCCGCAGCATGGACGGAAGAGAGAGAGAGAGAGAGAGAGAGAGAGAGAGAGGGGTGTGAGGAGATAGGAAAGCTGTCGTGAACGCGGCGGGTAAGTCTCAGATAGCGATTGTGGTTTGGTTTTGCCTGTATATTAAACGAGACCCGAAACATTTGCTTATATTCCGCTTTTGTGCCTCGGGCACTTCGAATTTGACTGATAGTAGATGACATTTGAGAGTGTCAGATGATAAACAACCACGTAATGGACGACAAAGTATGGAAGCAGGCCAAAGTTGACTGCTTCATTTGATCGCCACGTTCAAACAAAAGCATTCACTCACTAAAGAAACTCTCTCCTTTATCAGAGCCTCACATTAGTCCATCGATCTTACCGTGAACGAACTATATTTTATATTATAATTCTAAAGGAATCCATCATTGCCGACATAAGACATGACATCAGAATATATATATATATATATATATAATGACATCAGCTATCACAGACTCCCACCTGAAACAGTAACCAAAACATCAGCTATCTCGTCGAACGTTCGAACAATGGGGAAAGGAAACTCATCTTTCTGAAAGAATTATATGTGTATATATATATATATATATTCTTAATTAATTCAAATTTCAAGTGTTAAGCTGAACCATTTACCATACACACGAGGGAAAACGTTAAAAATATATATTAATAGATCATATCTTATTTATTAGTTTAAGCTTTTAGATATGAATAGATTAGGTTTTAAATCAACTTGACAGGATAATTTAAATTCATCCCAAAGAGCAACTGTTGAATACTCGTTGCCACTTATCTAACATAACATGCAACTTTTTGTTATCAGATACACAAGTATCATCCCACTGCACAGTAGACATCAAGAAACCCTCCATGTAGATAATGCCATACTTTCACAAGTGTTTATTAATGTTAATTTGAGAACTCATCAGTTTGGTCCACAGATGACAACATGTTATTCAAGGTCACTTGGATGCAAATGCGATTGTATCTCAGAGAGCAAATGTAATCTTCAATAAATCACTGAGAGGCCCAATAAGCTTCGATTAGTCATGTAACAATCGTATTTAATTATTGAACTGAACTTTATGGTGGTCATATGCTGATGAATTAAACAGTAACTTGATTACAACTGTTTGACAACATAACCATGGTTTGAAGATGAAATTTCATAACAATGATCTGCATGAACTAAAATGTTGGGCAGATTCATGGACGACGTCTCATATGGGTTTCTGGATCTGATCTTTGAGGCTGAAGCTGTCTATCACCACGTTTTGCATTTATAGATCCAGCTGAAATACATCAAGTGGCACAATGGTTGGTGGAATCCTATCACGGACTGTTCTTGCATAATCTGCGCAGTTTGGCAGACTGTCTGCGCCACTCATGGATAGGGACCTACAATGTATAAACATTTGTTTTAGGATTCAAGAAGAACAAACAAAGGAAGAGAAAGAGGAATAAAAAACAATCCTTACTGCAGGAAAACCACCGTAATCACCAGATTCCGCAAGATCCTTTGTCACACAACTATTTGCTGCGAGTCGAACCTGCAATCCAGATAAAAGATATCATTGACACACAGTTATGCACGAGGCAAAATTTTGTTAGTCTGAATTATGTGCCAAGAACAGTTGTGGATGCATGAAATCCACTGTTCAAGTTCCAGAACAGAATCCAAAAATTATCAATGTCGGTGCGACAAGATCTTGTTAATCCCCAGCTAGCAGGATACTTGGTCGACCAGATAGATGTTGCACGACTACAGGTTCACTCTATTGTACACAGATAAGGAGCGTACAATGAAGAGAGAATCTACAAGTAAAATGAAGAGAACCTAAATGTTGAAGCAGAATCTAGGCTTGAATTCCATAATCATACCCAAAAATAAATAACTTAGATGTCACTCAGGTCAGGCAGCACTAATCTCGCCCTCTTTTGGCCAGAAAGATCAATACAATGTTTTTTAAATAAGGTTTAATCTTGTCAAAATGTTTCTATGCAGATCTCCTTTCTCTAGCTGATACAAAGCAGCTGGCTGGTCTGCACGCCAACTATTCATGATATAACAACAAGAGGGGATTGAACAATGCCAAAGTTTGGCTGATTGGTAAGAATTAAGCACAAGAAGTCCAGTTGAGAAAATAAGGCATAAAGGGGGCACCAAAAGCCACCAAAATAACTTCTTGATAAGAAAGCCAGCAATTTTACTGATACATCAAAGCAATATCTATTGTTATTGTTGAAATAAGTACCTTAGAAGCGATGGACACATGATCTCGTATGGCTACTCGGCCTCCCAAAGTGACATAATCACCTAACCTACAAACACAGACATTTATCAGCTACTAATGTATCAGGTGCCAGAACACAGAGGCTAGAGATAGAAAGAAGAGACTAATATATAGTTAGATACGTCACAGAACCAGCAATCCCAACTTGTCCGCAAAGCATACAACACTTCCCAATAATGACATTATGACCTATCTGCAAGATGAAATTTGATAATGAGGCAAAAGTTTTGTATTTAACAGTTTTTATTAAAAAAAGTTCTTGGCTGTCACTTCAAGAGAATCTGTTAGTGCATAAAGACACTGAAACTCACCTGAACAAGATTATCTATTTTGGTATGATCTCCTATTACAGTGTCTCTCCAGCTGCAGCATGCATATGATAAGTTTTCAATTAAATGGCAGTATCAAAATATTGTCTATCAAGCATGATTTTAATGGAACAATTTTCAACATAATGAAATCAGCATAAAAACCAATGAGCCTCCTGGAGTTCCTTCACTAGGCATTAAATTTTATAAAGTTCACAGAACAGTAAATTCAAATGTACCAAATAATTCACCTGCCCCTATCAATGCATGTGTTGGCACCTATCTCCACATTGTCCCCAATCCTTACATGTAGTGCCTTAAGAAAATGAAAAGAACAAAGATGTGACATATTATTGCTACAGTATTTATTTCTAGAACATACAGCCCTCATCAGCTAAGTTTTAGTATTTAAAAAAAAATGATGCTAAGATAATATCTTTAAAAAGTAGATGCTTGTTGTAATCACCAAACATGTAATTCCATAATTCAAACCCTGGTCTCCCAAGTTACAAAGGACCAACTTTATCACTGTACCGAGGTCTGCTTTGATAGGACTACATTGTAGTTGATTTATCAAATTGGCACTGAAACAACAATCTATTAATGATGTTCTTGTCCTCAAGAGACATAAATTAAGATAACAACATGTCTGCAAACGGCTAGGTTTCTCCTCACATTAGTGAATCATGAGACAACATTTAGATATAAATTCATGCTAGCTTGATTGTCCTATGCACACCATGATATATGTGGATACAACATTTCACAATTTTTTTCAGATTCCTCTTATTTTGGCATGCAAGAACCATGAGATTCACTATACGACAAAGACCAAACTTGTAAAACAAAGAATTACTGTAAAACTCTTTTTTATGACAACTCAGCAAATTTTGTGACACGATGTACACTGCACAAATTATTAAGGATGTGTGCAAGTGCATAAAAAAATTTTAATTTTAAGAATAACAAAATCATCACCAACTTGGGGCTTCTTCAATATGTGTCCTTCCTCATTCATAAAAAATCCAAACCCTGCGAGCAGTAAAAATGAATAACTCATGAGCTGCAGCATGATGGATAACAAGCATTAAAACACAGTGAGGACTGCAAAATCAGACAAAGACCAATGAAGAACATGAAAGTCTGTCAAAAAAAAGTCAAAGAAACTCAACCAGAATTTGTTATGGAATCAAGAAAAAAATGTTTGCCAGAAGATTGGCATTAATCTGGAGTGCAGCAGAAAAGAAAAATCGCAGATCAAACAAAGTTCAATTTTGAAATAAAATAATGCATATTGTTGCTAAGACATGTCAAGTCATAAATAAAATTCAACATTTTTTATTTCTGTAATAATAAATAAATACACTAAACCAAAGGAATGGAAACTAGATGTCAAAATTTTGCTTCACTAAACCAAACATATGGAGAAAAAGAGGTGCAAAACACTCTCTAACATTTTATCTCTAAATTACAATCAAGTAAAAGAACAGAAAAGTGCTACACAGTGGGATAAGCGCACCATCTTGACCAACACAGACCCCATTATGAATTGTAGAAAACTGGCCCACGGAGCAATTACTCAGCACAGCATTGTACCTGGATCAGACTCGAAACCATCACTAGCAATAGTAAAACTGGAATAAGAACACTAAATCTTGAACCAAAACTAACTTATTATACAATTGAAACTGTCTGCAGCATTTAACCAAGACAACATTGTCCAATGAATGTTTTTAAATGCAAAAGTATGATCCTCAAAAGCAAAGAAGAGATTTCAAAATCATATTTTTGATAACTTTTTACCATCGATCGGCTAGCTTGGCAGGTATTTGAATTATGTTTTCAACCATTGTGAGATTTAATATCTCATCTACATATAGCCCATTGAGAGCTATTTTAAGTATACAGTTTACCTACTCTCCTAATTGTATTTTTGCTTCCCAGTTATTTAAAACTAATATCTCATCTACATACGGCATTTTGAATCCAGTGTATCATAAATCAATTTGAAATTTTGATCAAGTTACAAAAGATACAATAGACCACGAAGCTTATGCATCCACAAGAAATTTCACATGCATCATTCAAGACTACAGTCATCGGAGAACGATCAAATCTTACCCAACTTTTGTGGACTGCCCAATTGATACAGAAGGCCCTACTACGGTTCCAGATCCAATGCGAACATCCGATCCGAGCACGGAATCGGAATGCACAACAGCTCCAACTTCCACCACCGCAGTAGGATCAATGCGCGCGGACCTGTGGAAGAGGCCGCCGCCGTTATTCCATCTAACGAACGCCGACGTGTCTTTAACCATCTGCTCATCTGATTCAACAACAGTCAATCGCGAGCAGAAGGAGAAGAGCCGAGAAATGGCGTAACAGATCAGTCGAAGACGTACCGGAGAGATCAGAGGGAGCATCTGAAACGTGGCGAAAACCGGAGCGGTGGAGGGGGAGCCGAACCAAAGTGCGTCGGCTTCTTGAGAGGAGACGGACCGCCATGGCTCCAAAGCTTCGAACCAAAGCAGGAATGTTGACCGGGCGGCGTGGAGACCTAAAACCCTGCCACCAAGTGCGAACCCGGAGGCCTTTGTCCACTGGACGATCAAGACCGTCGATTCAATCAAACCGGCAAATTGAATTAATTGGATCGGACCAAATTGATCGGTCCAAATGGCGGTTCTCGATCAAACCAGTAAATAACGGTCGAACCGGATCGGTCGGACCGATTTCTTGTACCTCGAAACAACTATTTTGTACTTTCAATTTGATTGTGGAAAATGAGCAGTTATTTGCCATTAATCAGATATTAGAAGCTTCTTGCTTTGATCAGCACAAGATTGCCATTTTACTTTTGATTTCTTTTGCTGCAAAAAAAAGATGATAAGAAACAAGTAGTAGTTTTTGAGAGATTATTCTTAGAATAGTGGAACAGAAATTTTTTTTCTTTTCTTTGTTAGTTGTATCCCACTCATTTTGTTGTACAGCCATGCACTTTATGAGAGAATCAAATGTGTTGAACTCATACATCTTACATTAAATCTCATTTTATAGAGAAGGAAAAATGATTTGATCAAGATAATTTAACTTAAATATTCTGGATCATACAATGGCTTCATTTGGGAAATACATTTATTTATAATTTTAATTTAATGTCATATGAAGAAAATGACTTGAGTAAATATGTAGTTATGAAATGCTTTTAGTGTTTGATAAATAATAGATGAAGATTGTATTTTAAATGTGTATTGACCGTAAAATTATATTTTAAAATTCTATTGAATATTGTGTGATAATATTTATTCAAAAGTAAATATATATTTTTATTTAAATTAATAAGTAAATAAAATAAATAAATAAAATGTGTATTATCATAAAAAAAATTTGTATGGTCCAAATATATAATAAATAAAAAATATAATAATATAAATGAATGTAAAATCATCTTTAAAAATATGTAAATAAAATTTCATCTTAAAGAAAATATACATCATGTCAATCTTATGATTTTAGATAATGTCATAGGATAATTTGAGAATTTAAAAATTAGCATTTGAGCATTTATAATATAACATTTAAGCCAAATACATCTCTCATATCTTTGGTACTACTAATCATTGTCCCTATTTATATGTGCTTTAAACATCTAAACCTTTTTGGGTGTCTCTTGCAGCACACAAGGAGCAGGAGATGGAGATTGTGTACCCAACAGATGTGAAGCATGGTGCTCATGTTGGCTTTGTGACAATCCATTTTAGGTAAACAACAACATCAACTATTTGTCTCTCTTTTCCATGAAATCAGACCACCTTAATTTATTTCCTTCCCTCAATTATAGAAGTTCTTGAGGATCCATGAGTTGGTTTATCTTTCTAATTGTATTTGTCTTTAAATTTGTGCATGTAAGACATATACTATGCATACATACATATAGAGATCTTGAGAAGACCAAGAGTTATCTGCATAAAAATAGTTGATGAGGGAGCTTGAGAAATCACCACTCATTCATCTGCAAATATTGTTTCAGACAAATACTTTTTTTTTTTTGAGAAAAGTAAAATATATTAAATCAAAGTATCCTTATACAGGCCATTAGGAGGTGTGTCTCCTCTACCAAAAAAAAAACAAAACTATTCAATCTAGATTGTTGCTGTTTCTCTTGATGTGAACTATTGATGTGCAACAAATCTTTGGTTCACTTTGATCATTTATATTTGTTTTGCTTAAATTAAGATGGACTAGTTAGAATCAATCCTACAGATTTGATAACACTCATCCTTGCTTGAAAGTTTTCTTGATATATATATATAAATAATTTGCTACATCAGATTTGGATCAACAGAGCTGCTGCCATTTTTATGCACCACCATTTGCCTGACATACCAAAAGCCCCAAAGAAGAAGAGCAAGAGGAAGAAGACGAAGGTGGCGTCGCCAGCACGGTCATCGAAGTCGTCGGCGTCGAGAGCTTCCTACTCCACTGCAGTCGAAGATGCTATCGAAGCAGAAGATCAATGCAGGATGGCATGAAAGTGTCATCTAGCTTTGAACAACACTCGGGTCTGGAAACTATGAATTCAATCAAAGAACACAATCTATGGGGGGGGGGGAAGAAAGGCTTCCTTGATTCTCATCTCACTTTGAATAGCACTACTTTGTTAGAGTGGAATTTAATATGATTCTTTTATTCATTGAAATAATTAAATAATAAAGGCTTAGAATCTTTTTCTTTGCCGATGGATCTGAATCAGTTGTCCTCACACTTAGTCATACAGTATCTCATTTTATCCACATTGCAGCTGTTTTAGAATACAGCTGTCAGACGAATGAGGCCGGGAAGACTAATGACAAGCACACTGTCCAACCTCCTGCGGTCCAATGAACAGAACTGCACATGAATTCATACAACTCACAGTATATTTTAGTCAGCTGCCAATAAAATGAACAATATGTTTTTTAACGAACTCACAGCATATTTCCGTGGGTCGATGTTAGAAGTCTTTAACGAAATGAGCTGGATGCTGAGGTGGTCGTACCCTTAGGAAGATATGCTGGTTGGCATCGGTCGAAATCTGGGCCAGTTGACGACTTGCCTTGGGGACGTCGGTCGAGGATTTCCAAGGTGAGACGTTCACGAGCTGCCAAAATGTTAACGAACAAATATATCGTGGCTGATGAGTCAGCACAGCTAGGTCCGCAGGTCGATGTCAGGAGCCTTCTACGGAATGAGCTAGATGACGAGGTGGTCGTGCCCTCGGGAAGGGGTGCTGGTTGGCGTCGATCGGGATCCGGGCCAATTGATGTTTTGTCTTAGGGACATTGGTCGGGGATTTCCAAGGTGGGACGTTCGCGAGCCGTAGGTGGTGATGCTTCCCTGCAAAAATGGCCTTTGTCGAGTAGTTCTCAACTTTGACCCCTCCAAAGATCGAGTCAGTAGTGGGTAGAGTTCTTTTATGCCTCCTCTGGTCGGAGATCGATCGTATGCTTTATACTATTGTACGAGGGTCGATAGCATGTTGATTTGATGTGACCGTCGACTCTCGAGGGATGGGACGACACCTTTAATCGATCGCCGTCTCGAGGCGTGCGAAGCCGCGTAAGACGGCACCGCCCCGAGCTCTCGGGACGGGACAAGTGGAATAATTTCTCGATACGGTTTTGACTTGGCATGTGGCGTCAGTAGTGATGTGTCCGGGGTTCCAAAACATGTCAATGTTGTGAAAAGAAACAATAATTTTTCTTTATATAAAATAAATAAGTTATATCATCCATATTTTTTTTTATTATTTTAGATCTTATGATCACATATTTCGAATCTTCAATCTTTCATAATTATTAAATCAATATTTTATGTGTACATATATTGAATAATGACCTTTATTGATTGAGTCTAATATTTTTTTTTTCAAATAATAAAATACTATTATAATGATCCACTTTATGTGAAAAAAATCCTTTGCCATAAAAAGAAAATTCATGAGCTAAATTAATTTTTTTTCTGATAATGAGATCATGATTATTTTTCTTTAAATCAACCATAGAATACCAAATATTATTATCTTATCATTAAATATGAGATGACTCGTCAAAAATAGTAGCAATCATCTTGTAGAAAGCTAAACGTAAATAATAAAATACTAAAAAATCATGAAGATTAAACTTATATCGACCGTCCAATTATTCAGTTCTGCAAAACAAATTATTAGTATTTTTATTTTATATAAACATCTCTATGTAATTAGTTTTATAGGTATTAATGTACCAAACCTAAATCTCAAAGCTTTAAATAATTGAAGCATTATGTCAATTCGAACATGAACAATGTGAATCAAACCGACCTCTCGGGTTGGCAAAGAGCCGCCACCATCCACCCCACACCAAATGAGTTGGGATCCTCTCCGATACCATGAACCTGTTTGATTTCCCATCCACCGTCCATTTCTCATGTTGTCTCATCTCAACCGTTCATTGGATATACCGGTAAAGCCCGCTCTAGCCGACGGGCACGTCACGAACGGCTCCGATGTGAGAACAGCACTTTCCAATTATACGTGCAACTTGGAGAGGATGCCGATTCGATCACAAAAGCCCACCGGGGCCATTCCGGGATGGAGGACTCCGAATTTATAGGGGCATAAAATGCCCATTTAGGGCCGTTTTGCGGTAGGAAGAATATAAATTTGTAAGGTTATCCCGGGAACGTTAGTTCTGCACCAAACTCGTCGCTGCCACCAACCCCGTCCCTCTCGCTTCTCTCTCCACCTCCGCATTAGAGCTAGTCTCCCTCTGTTAGATCGCAAGATCCCCTGGATTCTTTATCGACGTGCTCTTTGATCCACTCCCCTGCTCGCTTCAACCCCTTCCTCCTCGCCGTTGCGCTTGGTTTTGCCATCTTTGCAGCCCGATAGATCGCCGTCTACGGTTGGCAAAGCACAGGAAAGTGAGTTTTTTGTGGGTTGCTGGAGTGACCTTGCTGCGGGAACGAACAAAGGTGGGATCTTTTTGAGGTTCTCGGTCGAGTCCCTTGTTCTCATCGACGCGAGGAATCGACTTGATCGCCCCTTGTTGCCTTCCGCTGGTTCCTCCGCCTCTCCGTATCCTAAAGGTCGGATCTCGGCATCAATCCCTAGAGGCCGCGTCGCTCTTCGACATGATCTCCTCCGTGAAACAATCCTCGGCGGCGATCGGCGTTGCCGATCTCGTCGGGCGTAAGTCCCCGTCTCTCAGACCTCGGATCGCCTCCGTTGCTCCCTTGTCTGCCATCAGAAGTCCTAGTTTATCGCTTCTCACTCGAAAACCCCTTTACCTTGCATCTCCGGAGGGGTTTGTTTTTGGCTTCCGCGATGGGATCGTGTCGGCTGCGAAGCCTCGGGGTCTTGCTTTCAAGTGCGAGGCTTACGAGGCCGATGGATCGGAGAACGTCGAGGTTTCCCATCAGGAGTCTCGTTCGGCCACTGCCCAGAAAGTAAAGATCGGCATCTACTTCGCCACCTGGTGGGCGCTCAACGTGGTGTTCAACATCTACAACAAGAAGGTCCTCAACGCCTTCCCTTACCCCTGGCTCACCTCCACCCTCTCCCTGGCCACGGGTTCGCTTATGATGCTCATCTCCTGGGCCACCAGAATCGCCGAGGCCCCCAAGACCGACTTCAATTTCTGGAAAGCCCTTGCACCGGTGAGACAAAAAGCTCCATCCTCTTATATTACTTGTTTCATTTTGGGGTTTGTGAAGGTTTGGTGGCGTTCTAAAGACACTAAATCTGGCTTGATCAGGTGGCGGTGGCTCATACGATCGGGCATGTGGCGGCCACAGTGAGCATGTCGAAGGTGGCAGTGTCATTCACCCACATAATCAAGAGCGGGGAGCCTGCTTTCAGCGTGTTGGTGTCGAGGTTTCTGTTGGGGGAGACTTTCCCTGTGCCTGTATATCTATCGCTGTTGCCGATCATCGGTGGATGTGCTCTGGCTGCAGTCACAGAACTGAACTTCAACATGACTGGTTAGAAGAGAATTTAAGAGGGCATTTATATTGCTTGATGTTATCTTATTTTTCCTTTTAAATTCTCCTAGCTATTTGAGGTTCTTTCAGTGATCTGATAATCCTCTATCAAAAAAGGATCAATCTGGTAATCTAGTGTTTGTATATCATAAGGTTTCTGGGAGAGTTTTGCAAGCTCATGTCCATCGAAGATGTGCCGCTACCAATGTCACAAAAGATCTAACAAAGTTGAAAACTTTCAACTTGATAGATGAACACACTGATCCAAAATTTTAGCCCTTTTAAGATTAGGAAAGCTGCAACAACTAAAAAGATGGTTCTTTAGGTATTGTTAGGATGGTTGGAGAGGAATTTTATTGGAGTTTTTTATTGTGCTGATTTTAGTCTGTACTGACATATGATTTAGGTATCTGAAATATTTAGATTTTTTTTTTCTTTCTTCACTCAGAGGAGAATAGATGTCACTGTAACTAATTGCTCATGATTTAGGTGTCTCAAATGTTTAGTTTTTTCCTTTTCTTCCCCCTTTCTTCTCTTGAAGAAAAATAAACTTCAGTTTTACTAGTTGCTGGAGTTGATACACTATATCTTTTGGCTTATCAGGACTAAAAATATTTCATATTACCCTAGTTCTCAACATATTTCTTTTTCTGAGTGCTTTTCTCATGCCTGTACTGTTTATGGTTTGGATTATGTTCATGCTTAATTTTCAAGCCACTATTGCTGAATTGGCTTTCTCAAGTGTAATTTGACCATTCTGAAGCTTGGGGGCCAGTTTGAAAATTTAAATGGTGAGGTGGCTTTCTTTATGAGTTTTTTTGGGCAAGGTGTTAGCTGGCTTGTCTTGATTCCAGGTTTTATGGGTGCAATGATATCAAACGTTGCATTTGTCTTTCGCAATATTTTCTCCAAGAGGGGGATGAAGGGCACATCAGTTAGCGGGATGAACTATTATGCCTGTCTTTCTATGCTGTCTCTGTTGATACTCACACCATTTGCCATCGCGATCGAGGGCCCCCAGATGTGGGCTGCTGGCTGGCAGACTGCAATTTCACAGATTGGTCCCCATTTCATCTGGTGAGTAAAAACTAGATGGTTGATCAATCCTATTCACAAAATTCAGTTACTGCAGTAATTTATGCACTCTTTGTTACCCTTCACATGGGATAGATTTAACTAATTGTAATTCACAGTATATTTGCACTACAGTCCAAAAATATTCAATGTCTTCATGATCTGCTGGTGGCAGTCCCTGTAATGCTTTTGCTGGACTTCAGTTTTCTGGGCTTAATCTGTTAAGCAGTTTTAAACTGGAAATGGCTGAATTCAAACAAGTTGATTTGATTTTTAAATTTTAGTTAGATCTATAGTTTTTTTATTGCCATGAGTAGCTTATTTGCCTATATGACTCAATTGCTTTTCATATTTAACTTCTTTAAAGAAGCGAATTTTGATCCTTTTTTTTTTCTGAGAATTCGGATAACTTTTAAGCCGTTATATTTCTTTTCTTTCATTTTAGCTAATGTCTTGTGTTTGTGTGGCTATAAATTTGTGATGGTAGGTGGGTAGCTGCTCAGAGTGTCTTCTACCATCTGTACAACCAAGTCTCCTACATGTCTTTGGATGAAATCTCTCCCTTGACATTTAGCATTGGCAATACTATGAAACGGATATCTGTCATCGTCTCTTCCATCATAATCTTCCATACTCCTGTCCAGCCCATCAATGCACTTGGAGCTGCCATTGCTATCCTAGGAACTTTCCTCTACTCCCAGGTAACAAGTAACAACTTCTGTTTGTTTTATCTGAAAATATAATGTCATATGTTTAGTTGTATAGAGATGACAAGAACGTCCATGAAGATAAAAGTCATCTGCATGTTGCTTGTATAAGAAAAAGATTTTGGAACCAGGTTACCAATATTAAGAAGAATGATTATTTCTGTGTAGGTATGGGTGTGTGCGTGCGTGTCTTTATGTGAATGCTTATTATAATTTAAGCCAAAGATTTTGTTATTCATACTCCTTTAGTAGTATTGAATTGTGGACATTAATTTTGAGGACAAATACCAGGACTACCAATTAATGTGAAGGAATAAAGATAAGGGCAAATAGGAAATGAGGGGGAGCATCATATCTAGTGAAGTGATTTTCCACTAAATATCCTGTGTTTAAATATAAATATCCTCACTGTTCCAGTTTCAAGATTGTGAACTAAAGAAAGTAGTTTCTGTAATGATTTCAGTGTGAAATATTCTAAAGAAGTTTGTAGTTTGATCATATTGTCAAAAAATTCGTTAAGCTAAATTTAATTTTCCTAAACATGATTGAGGAAGTTTTGATGGTGAAAGTATCTAAAGGACAGAAAATATACGTGTACAAAGTATTCAACCATAGAAAGTTTACATCTTACTGTAATTTTAGCAATCATTCTCTGGAACCAGACGAGACATTTGATTGCTGATGTTTATGTCGGCTAGGTTGGGAACAGTTGAGTAGGTATGCTTAAGCCCCTGTGCTTACTCGATGCTGATAACTAATGATTTTTAGTATCATTTGTTGAACATATCTAAGTTCTAAGATCAGCTGGTTATAATTGTTGTGGCAACATAAGGTCATGATAATTATAGTGAGGCACATTATTTGTCACTAGGAACACACATCTTGGAAGTGGCTTGTTGGTATCTAGCTTGTCTTGTTAGCAATTCTTATGTGATTTGTGCTCTGGATTCGAGACTAAATAGTTCTTTTTTGTCAAATATGATGCAGGCCAAGCAGTAAAGGGGGGATTCGAGAGAGACGTAACAAGATCAGTTATTACATATGTTCTTCATATATGCATGGCCATGCAACAACATTAATTAGATGTCGCCAAGTAGATTATTTTGGTTGAGTTCAACAGCAGGTTCCTGTTGTTGATGACACTAGAAATATACCATGATTTGTCGACTGGACATAGAATAATGTTTCTTGTTTTTGTCTGCATTTGCATGGTCATTATGCAGAAAGAGAGACTGTTGAAGTGCTTCTTTTACTTGTCGCAGAATAATGGTTTCAAGTTTATCGCTAAGTTTTATTAGTAATCAAACAGTTTTACCTGAAAGGATTGCTTGCCTAGTTCATCTTCCCTTGCATGAAAACTTTGGTACTGCATGCCCCATAGTCCGGAGCTGTGGACAAAAGCTCAGATGTGGACTTGATTGGAATGTAGTAATTATTATTATCATGTTGGATGCAGACTAGTGTATGTGTGTGTCATTGCCTGGTATGCACCTACTACCAATGTGTCTTTTTTAGTTCAATGTTTTGATCTTTCAATTGTGCAATGTTCATTCAGATGAATCAATAATCCCCCTGCAGCAAATTAAGTGCACTGTTGGATTGACTATGGCTGCAGAAATTATATTGATCTTTTTCCTGCAAAAATGAACAAAACCACCAGCAGATTGTTTTTATGCATCAGTTTCTCATTCAGGGTGGGAGAATTAAGCTCCATGTTGATCAAAATCATGCTGCATTGAACCTGAAACATGTTTGTATTTGTTTATCTGGGTACAGTTTCTCAAATGGAACCTGAAACAGGCAACAAAACCTTGGTCAACTGTTGGAGAAACAGTCAACATTTTACCTTGATAGTATCTGTGCATGGTGTTTAGCTGTAAGATCACTGCTTTGTGATCTTAATTGATAAAGGTTTTGGGTCATGGAAATAAATCAGTTTGCATCACTCCATACAATAGCTCAGATGCATATATCATCATTATCATCCTCAGTATTGCTTAATTCTCATTATGAGTATATAAAAAGAAAGAAAAATTAAAAATAACTATTTGTCTAACATTTTAGCCTTTCTGAATTCTTTTGATACAAAAGTCAATTTCTTCTTGTTCTTAAAAAAAAAAAAGTTCCTACTTGATAGTCTAAAAATTGTGCCTGCAACTTCATGGATGATGTTTTAATGGACATTAGAAAAACATCATTTAGATTGGTTTTGGATGGCAATTTCTTAACGGGTCGGAGTTAGGTTAAAATTTTGGTTCTAATAAGTAACAGTACGCATCTCAATTGAACAAACTCCGCTCGACCCGACCCGTTTAATACTCTCTCGCTCTCCTTTCTCTCTGCCGCTGGCAATCCTACTCTCTCTCACCCCGCCGCTGCCGGTGGTCGTGGGACCGCCGCTGCCGGTGGTCGTGGGACCGCCGGTGGTGATTTTCCGGCCGGCGATTTCCTGGGAGATGGAGGTTTGCGGGGTAGCGGTTCGGGCCCCAATCCCTTTCCTTTCGTTCTCCCTCGCCCTTCCTCGTCTCTCGGTTCCGTGGCCGACTTGATGAAGAAGCAGCAGCAGGAGATTGCATCCATGGCCGGATGCTGTATCCTTTGCTATCTTATTCATTAACATGATCGTGTTTGGAGCGCTGGTCTTTCTGCCCGTTGATTGAGATGCATTGGTTTGGTCTTCGCCATGAACATTCTTCATTAGATTTCTGTCTTCATTCATGATTATACTTGCATAACCCTTTTCTTTTTATCAAACACCTAAAGGGCATAACAATTGGTGTTGGGAGACATCAAATGATCCACGAAACCAGGTTTATCCTCAGCTCTTTGGAGTAGGAACTTGTTGCTTGCCACAAAAGACCTGCTTCAGGGACCGGAGACCCTTCATGACTTGTCTGAACACACAAGCTCCTGCACCACAGACACTCGACCTGAGGTTTCGATGCCGTCGGCCCCGTCTTCCTCCTCGATCGGCTTCCTCCATGACCTTGTAGATCAAGAACCTCGCCCGCCAGTGCCGCCGCTCCTCGGGGTCCTCCTTGTCGACCCTTGCGTAAGGGTGTGCCATCCTCAACAAGCTCATCTCTCATGAAGAAGCGGAAGAAGATAAGAGAGGGAAGGCCACCAAGAAGACAGATTACATAGCGATCTTCCTTTGGATGAAGCAATTGTCTGTGCTGCGATGAAGGCAATGCTTGCCTTCCTAGGCTACATCGACAGCAGATGAAGCCAAGAGTGGGAGGCGCAATGAGGTACAAGCAATTGCATGTTCCTTGTCAGATCAATTCCTGTCGGCTACGTGTTTGTTTATTGGCTTCAATGACTCCTCGGTCATTATTATATCATAGTAAATTACCAATAGATCCCAATCAAACATTAATTTCATTATATATATATATAATTCGATCAACCTATATATATAAATATATCATTTGATTGGTGTGAGATTTGCCATTCCTTTACTCTTGGTCTCGTGTGTTCGACTCGTGCTAGTTGCCCGAACGTGATCTGGTCAAATGTTATCTATTTCCAACTCAATCTCAACTCAAGATCGAGTTGGGTTATGGCTTACAAAAATAAAATATTTAACTTTAATTTTGTTTACATCATTAACTTTGTTGACGAAAAAAATCACACATGTTAGTCTTGTGTAAAAAGAACATGAATGGAAGGAATAAAATTATAATTTTATTATTTTTTACATTATTAATTTTCGCTCGCAGCGTAAGCCTTTCACATAAATTGCTTTCCTCCCCTTCGGCTATGCTACGGATGATAGACCACGAAAGCATCGATTGCGCATGAGGTTGGTTCTTCGGTAGAAGGTGACTCCACAATACTGTGAACTACGAGACCTCGGTCCTCTTATGTTCATCGTTACAGCAATAGGTTGGCCTTTGGCTCCGTCAAACCACCCATCGTTCCCTTCCAGATGCCAACAGCAGCAAAGCTCAAAGGCGAGGAGGAGGATGAGTTCACAACTACATAAAGCTGCATTGCAGCAACCTTCGCGGCCAAAGGGAACATTAGCATCGTTAGAGGAGCGCATGTTCTCGTCTTTGGCAATGGTCGTGGTGATGTCGTTGCCCAATGACTCAAAGAAGTATAGTGCCACAACAAGGGAGTTGCCACCATCGGTCTTTTGATTTCCCGTTCGCCCTTTTGCCTTCTTTATTAGGGTGGACATCACGTGCCAACGACCGTAGGGCGTTCGGTGTGCTAGCGCACTTTATAGGTGATAAAACTTTCCTCTAACCACATCCTTCCTTGCCGCCATTGGTCGCCCTCCCCTGACCATGTCTACATCGACATCCATCTTGATGCCCTGCACTAGTAGTGCAAGCATTGGGTCAATGCCGACATGCTGGTCCTCAATGCTGGCCACTGGTGGAACAACAAGAAGACGATTATTGCATAAGTAGGGTTGTGCTTCTGGAACTAGGACACTGAGCGAGTATGTTGGAAAGAGGAGGAAAGGAAAAAATCGATCACGATCGGAGGCACCGCCTGGATCTCCTTTGGAATGCCACTGACCTTATGTGCCACCAACATCGTTGTTGGTCTACCATCTTCAGCGCAATCGGACGGGAGGGAACGAGAGGAGAGGAAAACAGTTTCTATAAAAGTTTATATAAAATTAATAATTTTAAAATAATAAAATTATTTTTTATTCTTTTTATTTGTATTTTTGTTGTCACATATAATTTTTTTCATGGATAAAATTAACGGGATGAGAAAAATTTAACGTTAAATGTTAAGAGATCCCAATACTGTTTAAATTTAAAGTATAAAGATCAGAATATTAATCATAATTAACTACAGAATTAATATATAATTACCCCCATTATAGGTCTAACGTAGGTTTGAAGGGAAAACGAATTGACCCATGAAAAGCCATCAGGGTGATTTGGTCTCTAGGAACAGATGTGCTGCGTGGAACCCGCGAGTGTGGACCGGTATGCATGAGGTGGCATCACCCGTTGAAGGAATTCAGGGCTGGTGCAGCCGGGAGACGAGTGGTGTGGAGAAGATGAAATTTATCGGGGGAATAGTCGTTTCCCACGTTTCTCATTCTCCACCCCCCTTTGCGGTGGGGGTACGTTTCCGCTACGGTGGTGGAAGGAGCCGCCGTGGCGAACCGCACCGCACTTTCCTCTCCCACCAATTCCTCCCCTCCCCTCCATTTCCATTCCCCGGCGGAGTCTCTTCCTCCCCATCGCCCCTCCTCTCCCCGTTTCAAAAGCCCGGATCTCTAGGGCTTCCTCTGCCTCTTTCCGATCCAAATCCCAGGGTTTCTTCTTCCCCCAATAGAGAGAGAGAGAGAGAGAGAGAGAGAGAGAGAGAGAGAGAGAGAGAGCTTCTCTTTCACTAGCGTTGATCCGAGATGAGCGTGGTGGGCTTCGACGTCGGCAACGACAGCTGCGTCGTCGCGGCCGTTCGGCAGCGCGGCATCGACGTCCTCCTCAACGACGAGTCCCAGCGCGAGAACCCTGCCGTGGTCTCCTTCGGCGAGAAGCAGCGTTTCCTCGGGGCCGCTGGCGCCGCCTCCGCCGCCCGCTTCCCCCGCTCCACCGTCTCCCAGGTCAAGCGCCTCCTCGGCCGTCCCTTCCGCGACCCCGCCGTCCAGGATGACCTCCGCCGTCTCCCCTTCCCCACCTCGGAGGCCCCCGACGGCGGGATCTTGATCCGCATCCGCTTCCTGAACGAGGAGCGCGTCTTCACCCCGGTCCAGATCCTCGCCATGCTCCTCGCCCACCTCAAGCTGATAGCCGAGAAGAGCCTCGAGACCCTGGTCAGTGATTGCGTCATCGGGATCCCTTCCTACTTGACCGATCTCCAACGGAGGGCATACCTCGATGCCGCCACAATCGCCGGGCTGAAGCCGCTGCGGTTGATGCACGACTGCACTGCCACCGCATTGGGGTACGGCATCTACAAGACGGATTCATCCGCTCGTGGATCATCATTCTGTGTCGTCTTCATCGACATTGGTCACTGCAACACTCAGGTCTCGGTTGTGAGCTTCGGATCTGAAAGAATGAATGTTCTTTCACACGCTTTCGATGCGAATTTGGGTGGGAGGGACTTTGATGAAATCCTGTTCAACCATTTCACGGAGAAATTCAAGGAGGAGTACCAGATCGATGTTCATTCTAATGTTCGTGCCAGCATCAGGTTGAGGGTTGCTTGTGAGAAACTGAAGAGGGTTCTGAGTGCAAATGCGGAAGCACCATTGAATATTGAGTGTTTGATGGATGAGAAAGATGTGAAGGGATTCATTAAGAGGGAGGAATTTGAGAGACTCTGCTTGGGTTTATTGGACAGGCTTTTGGAACCATGCAAACAGGCTTTAGAGAATGCTGAACTGAATCAAGATAGAATCAATGCTGTTGAGCTTGTTGGTTCAGGGTCACGGATTCCAGCAATAACAAGGATTTTGACAGAGTTTTTCAGGAGAGAACCGAGCCGGACCCTCAATGCTAGCGAGTGTGTTGCCCGTGGGTGTGCCCTTCATTGTGCTATGCTGAGTCCCATATTCAGGGTTAGAGATTATGAGGTAAGATTTTCTACCATGGTGATGTTCTACTATCATTGGCATCTAATACTTTAACTTGTGCACGATACATGTCATCCTGTTTTGTCAAATGTTGTTTCTTGACACGTGTGGTAGCTTTCTGGACAACCTTGTAGGCACTACCACCTATACTAGTTATGCATCACTTGCAAAACATGTTTCCAGAGGGAAAAAAAGAGACAAAAGTGAAATTGCAAATACATGGTGGAAGAGAAAGGAAGGAAAAAATGTTATCTTGGTAAATATTTTATAATGAGTATGGGAAAGAAGATAGAAAGTTCATGCATAAGGTATATGGTTAGCTATTGATAAGATAACACACAACACTACAATGATTTGTTGCAAAATTTGAATGTTGAAGAAATGGTTGGTCTGTGTGGTGCCTTGACTTAGTAATCCATACTATAGGTTCTATTCACTGTAGATCTTAGTAAATAAATTTGTTTTATCTCCAATCTCAAGCTTGGAGAAAGCAGGGCTGCTTTAATATATGATTTCATTAGGTTCTTTTGGGACTGCAACAAACATGAACATGACTTGATTATACCAGAATTGGGGTTAAATCATGACCTGGGAACAGTGCTCTGCATGTACCTCATCCAGGGGCTTTAAAGCAATGGTTGAATGGGCTAGAAAGTCTCCATGAATGCTAATTTTGTGGTTATTGTTGGTTGAGGAATTATTTGCCAGTTTTAAATGTATATGCTAGCATAAGGCTAATCCAGCCTCAGTCTATGGCACTATTCCTGTATGTAGAATATGTTCGGCCACTTATTTGACCTATGTTAGCTTGAACATATGGTCTCATATATAGTCACATACAGCTATGCAACTGCATATGCAGTCCACATTTGCGGGAAAATATTATTATTACTTTTACAATTGCATTATTTGAATATTAAAAAAATTATCCATACTAATCATGTGCATCTTTGTTTGTTTCCTAGAACTTATCAGTTAAATAGCTTCGTAATTTTGTATTATTATCGTAAGTTATAGATTTTACTGTAGCATATATCTACCTATATTGACAATCGGCTTATTATTTTATATATATATATATATACATATATATACATACATATACATACATATATATACATACATATATATATATATATATAACTTTAGTGCCTCGATTGATTTATAAATGGGGATACAAGAAATAGACAGGTACACTCGTAAATGGGGATGCAAGAACATATGCATATGAATGATCATCCACTATAAGTTTTTTAATTACCAAACAATGACTATGTACATGTACATGTCGCCACTAAGCTTAAAACCCAGAAGGTTTTTGGTGATAGAAATGAAATTATGTAGGTGATGATGGTTTCAAGGTAAATTTCAGTGATTTAGATTTTGGATTTTTCTTTAATGCAGTATTGTTCTTTTTCAATTGTCTTTTCCAGCCATAACATAAAAGGAACTATATAGAAACTGATGGTCCCACTTTAACTTCAGAGAATTATTGTAAGTGATCTTTTGATATTTCCTTATTTCTAGCAACTTTTTTAAATTTAAAATGTGTATACGATCTATTACTCTTTCTATTTTATCAGTCTACTTTACTTGTCTTTTAATTTATGTACTTAGATATACTTGTGGTCGACTGCAGGTGCAGGACTCATTTCCTTTCTCAGTTACTTTTGCAACAGATGAAGGTCCTATTACAACTGTGTCAAGAAATGTGCTATTTCCTAAGAGCCAACTAATACCAAGTGTTAAAATGCTTTCTTTCTATCGAACTGATGCATTTAAGATGGAAGCATTTTATGCTAACCAAAGTGAACTCCCACCTGGTGCTTCACAAAAGATCAGCTGCTTCCAGGTAAGCATTCAAGGAAATTAAACAGCATTCTTGTTATATTGTTGGTGGTAGTTGCTCTGTGCATGCAAATACAGCATGCTAAAGTTTAGAGATGTGGTGTGTTTTAACAGGACTTTTCACATAATTCTAGCATCCATAGGTTGACAATTTCTGGCATTTGTTCATTGAGTAGAGTTAATTGGATTTGTTTTCTCTTAGATTAGTAGAGTTTTCCCTTATTAATAGTATATGATTGAACTGATGACATGTCCAACATTTCTCAATAGTGTGGCCACAGTGCTAGAATATTAACAAATGTTCCATCACTTCCTCGAGCTCTGATAGTATATGATTGGATTTTGGCATGTCGAACATTTCTCAAGAGTGTGGTCATGGTTGATGAACATTACTCAATTTGTCAGCTATTGCTATGAACTATATGTTGTTGTAGAACAAGTTATATCCTCCATGCACGGCAACCAAATAACTTTACCTGTGTAATGCCTCTGCCATGCTAGAGAATAATGCACCTAGTGCTTAGATTGTATTTGCTTGTATTTCTGTATCTCTTTTCTGATAGATAATAGCTCTTTTTTTGTCCCTTTCTTTTGTAATTTTCTAGACAGATGGTCTGAATTTGAGTTTCACATTGTTTGGTAATTTTACATTGAATAATTATGAAAATGTTCAAATTATGGATCCTGCAGGTCGGCCCTTTTCCAGTTCATGAAGGTGAAAGGTACAAAGTCAAAGTAAAAGTTCGGTTAAATCTTCATGGCATGGTTTCTGTAGAATCTGTATCAGTGAGTATGAATTTGTGTGTTTTACCAATATGATAAGCACCAGTTATCATCTTCTTAACTTTAATCTGTTATAATTTAACTGCTTCAGTTGATTGAGGATGATGATAATAGTACAGTTTCAAGGGATGCAAGTCGAGTAGATAATATGGAAACTGAGCCTGCTTCTGATGCAAACTCTGATAGCACTGTCCACACTGCTGAAAATGGAATATATGAACATGTTGAACATGGATCCATACCCTCCGTGAGTATCACTTTGATGTGATGAACTAGTGATGCTATACTTCTCTCGTATTACCAACTGTTTTATGTTAATCTTGCATATGAATCAGCATGGTTCAAACATAGTTTTGGTGTCTTGTTAAATAAATAATATGGCATAAAGAACCAAACTACCTTATATATGTAACAATCATACACAGTTCATAATGTGAGAGAAGGAAGATCAAAATAACTGGTATAAGGATACTAGGTCATCAGGTCAAACAAAAAATTCAGCTTTTGTCTAACATATTATCTAATCATATGTTAATTAGACTCCCATTTGAAGGTTTCACAGAGATGTATTTACAGAAATTTTTCTGAAAGGAAAACATATATCATCTTTTTCTGATTGGCCCTGAGCCTGAGTTGATTATCTTAATGTCATTCAAATATGAAGTTTCCTTATATGAACTCCTTACAACTGTCTGGTTATGGTACCTGCTTATAAAATAAATTTTGATTTTTTTCCAGACTTCTCTTAATGATGTTTTCATTCAAAAGCTAATGGAACAAACAGCATCATTTGAAGTGCAGTCTCATAACAGGACTTTTTGATCAATTAAAGAAAAACAATCTGAACATGAGACCAATCTAAACCAATGAATGGTAAGTCTCAATAGGGGTCTTAAACTAGACTCGGACTACTTTAAGTTGGCTGCAAATGAAATAAAACAGAAGTTAACTACCCAAATTCTACAAAAAAATTACTGTAAAAATAACTGAAAACAGACTGAAACTTTGCACATACCAAACATGATATAAATCTAATTTAGGGACACCTAGCTTGCTCATTTTTATGTCGATAATTATGCGTTGGCCATATGGTGTCCATAATGGTATAGTAATGGCATCCGTTTGGTACATGGAACATGAAGACCACTTCAAAATAGAATTGGTTCTCCTGCAAGACTGATTTTTTAAAACAATGAATCAAGAATAAGTATTAAGAAATGAAGTGAGAAGAACCAAGAGTAAAAAGAAAGATAATATTGTAATTTTCTGCTTTAGTTCATTGTGAACAACCTTGTGTGGTTCAAACAAATGGATGATTCTTGACATTTTCATTTGCAGCTAGTCTTTATAATGGTTGGACAAATGCATATTTATTGTTATATTTGCATAGTCCTAGATACAATGAATACTTAAAGAGAATTTATGTTATCATCTTTTTACATTGAGTCTTGTGGATTATTCTGTTGTTATTGTTTCATTGTCAAATTGTTTTCACCCTGCATACAATCACCATTTGCAGTCTGATACATCAAAAGCAGAAAGATTGCCTAGAAGGCACGAATTGCTAATTACTGAGACTATATATGGTGGAACAACAAAAGAATGGTTATTAGAAGCCCAAGAGCAAGAAAAGTGGCTTGCATATCAGGACAAACAAATGGAGCAAACAAAGGACAAAAAGAATGCACTTGAAGCTTATGTATATGAGATTCGCAATAAGGTGACATCAAACTTAGTAATTATCTCCAGTTATGTGTTTCTTGTGATCAAGCTAATAGTTTTAATATTCTTCTTCTTTGGTTTGATATTGCTTATGAACAGCTTTTTGAGAGATATCGAAGTTTTGCAAATGATTCCGAGAGGGAAGGAATTTCTGTTAGCCTACAACAGACTGAAGAATGGCTTTATGAAGATGGAGATGATGAAACTGAAAAGGTTTACACTGGCAAACTCGATGAATTAAAGAAGGTAAGCCATTACTTGTTCAGTCATGACACATCCAAAATTTTGTTGCACTGGTTATTTCAAACTAGTTTTGCAAATATTACGAACTGACTCTCGTTGATGCTGTCTCTGATCTTTCATATGTAGAAATGAATAGGTCCAGCCATATGTTTGTAGAAGTCCTATAAAAGCTATCATATGACTCTTAGATAAACTTTGAAAGTCCATCAGAAACAGGATTTCTTTTGACTAGCTGAAAACTCATTATTCCTTCTTTGGGACAGGAGTTTAAGTTTGTAAAATTGTGTATAAGCCATTGCCTTTGAAGCATGAGTTTTAAGTGGTATTATGCGCATTGCATGGGAAATCTGTTGTCGGTAATGGCAGGATGTATAATTGCTATATTTGTTTACCAGTTGAGTCAAAAGGATTTGTAGAATTTTCAGACAGCAGATAAATGCAGAGGTGGAGATTATCTAGGGTATTTTGGACACGGTTAGAGTTGGGTTTCCTGTAATGATTTAATTTGGCAATGTTGTTAATAGTGGGACACTGCTGAAGACTATAGATTGAATCATCCTTATGGCGCCTGGCATATTTGTTTTATTTGTTGCTAGAAAAGTGAAAAAAATATTCCTTGACTTGTTAGATGTCCAGATTTGTTTTTGGCTGGCACTTGAAGACACTTTTATTGTGTTTGATTTTTTTTTTCACATTAAAAAATCTTGTATAAGTTGGTGTATGAAAAATGTACAAAGAAGTCCCATCATTTAATTTCAGAGATAACTCCTAGATGGAATTCATCTCATCTAAACCAGGATTTAGAGCCTAAAATTTAATCTCCAACCAAAATTCCATCTATGGATAAACCTTGTTCAGTAGAATTTCTTGTTTGCTTCACAACCACAATCAGTAATTAGTTGCATTTTTTGGGTAACTTCGGATTTCCTTGATCTTGATATGTAAAAATCTTGATACTGGTGGAAGGTTCTCAAACAGTTATGTTGGATCTCATTGTGCCTCTTTGTTATGGCAAAACAAGCCTGTTTGTCTTACAAATTTGTTGATATAATAAATAAGTACTGAGTTTCAGATGAACGAAAATACAGTAGCTGGTGTCTTCTTCCAAGATGATGCCAGGTTTGTTATAAAAACCATCCTAGAAAGCTAGACAAAAACCTGGTGGTCCACCTAAATATGATGGGAAGGATGATAGAGACAAATCCAAGGGACAGATGATGAGAGAGCAGATGGTCTCAGTAATTCATTGGCTGATTGTATATAGTCTCTCTCTCTCTCTCTCTCTCACATGTGGGTGCGACAGTCATGTGTGCATGCACGTTCATGTTTATGCCATGTATTTGACTCTTTTTAATGTTATAAATTGTGATCTAAGGAGAGCTTCAGATCATCATATAAAGGCTGATGGACAATCTGAAATTTTATTTACTATGCTCCTGCATCCTGTATGTATCTTTTACATATACCACCCATGATCTACACAATATCAGGCTTAACTAACTATTAAAATTTTAAGTGTTACAAAATAATCAAGAATAGCAAAATGTCCAGACTTCCCTTTATAAAAAGCCTTATGACTATCATTAGAAATCTGAGGGCTTAATGTGCTAGAATTCTGTTCATTGGAATTCAATTCTGATTAAGGTATTTCATAAATTGTGCTGTTGTGATGTCTGCCTATTGGACCTTATTGTTGACATTTTGAGCAGGCCCCTAGATCAAGTTAACATTCTAATTTTGCAGTTTGCGCATCACTAATCTTTGAGTTTAACCTTTTCAATATGTTTTTTCCTGTATTGTTCACTTTTTTAATCCCAGTTGTCTAGTTTAAAGTTGACCATGTATCTTTCATATGATTGTGTGGCTTCTTTTGTGTCGTAGCATTCCCTATTTTTGGCGTATTAGTAAAATCAATATGCCTCTAGTGACGTTAAAATTTTCCTAAACTAAAGCTCCCATGCTGGCATATTTCCTCATTATGTTGCTTACTGCATCACAACAGCTGGTGGATCCTATCGAGAATAGATACAAGGATGAAGAAGCTAGAGCTCAGGCTACAAGGGAGCTTTTGAAGTGCATAGTTGATTATAGAATGGCTGTGTCTTCATTGACAACTTACGAGCGAGATGTTGTGAGTTCCAACTGTTCTAATATATTATACGATGGTAGTTTGACACATTGCAATTCGGAACATCATCCAGATATCATTTGTTTTCAGGTCATTGATGAATGCAATAAAGCTGAGCAGTGGCTGCGGGAGAGATCTCAACAACAGGATTCATTACCAAAGAACACAGATCCAGTTTTATGGTCTCATGAAATCAAGAAAAGGACAGAAGCCTTGGACATGTACTGTTCTATCTTTTCATCTTCTTCACTATTTTATATCTAAGATGCTCCTTATCCTCTTGCATTAATTGATTTTTTTTTTTCAATTTTTCGGATCTAACCAATTTCAGAACAATAGCCCTTTCTTGATTTGGTCCGCAAGTTAATGGTGTTCTTTCATATTTTGTAGGTCGTGTAGAAATCATTTGAGACACAAGGGTTCTCAATCGAGATCAGAGGATTCCAGAGGCTCAGACCACTCAAACTATGAGAATTCTAGAACTGATTGATTAGTTCCTTATAATCTAAAGTTAAGCACGATTCATTCTTCTCATCGTTGTCGTGGAGCCTTGTCTGCTGTCAAAGTTGGGAGTCCACAACCAGTCACAGGAAATACCATAGAAATCCTCGGGATGAAGCTTCATGAGAGGTGCGGCCGCTCTGGTTCTTCTGCTTCTTTCCCAAGAGGCAGTTTTTTGTTTCTCACACTTATCAGAAACTCTCTGCTTGTTGTTACTGAGCGTAATCACCAGTGTGCCTTTATGCATATAGAAAAAAAAGAAGAAGAAGAAGGATCCTATGTAAGCGAATATCGCTTATAATTAGTCAAAAACACTAATCTTGGTCTTGTGCTTATCTTCAATGTCGAGTTCATCAGGGAGTGTTGCATGTTACGCCCCGCCGCTTGTAAGAAGAATGAAACAGGTCATTTTCTCCTATTTTGATTTTACAACAACATGGCTTTTGTCTTTCGATGATAACGTTTGCAAAATCTCTTATTCCTTTTGGTTGCAGTTTATCATTCGATTGATTTCTGAGGATATACTGCTGATTTGATACTTTTATTATAAGTACAATATTAAGTCTATTATTAGTCTCCATTAAAACGTATCATTATCTTAATAAAGTTCCACAACGAAATTGTTAATAGACACATGGCAGTCGCCATTCTGATTCCAGCATCGACGATCGGATCTTGTTAGTTTTTTGGGCTAATCTGGCCAAATCCGACTCAGCCGAACCAGATCAAATCAGTTCAGATATGTATGAATATATATATACATATGTATGCATATATATACACACTATGTCTATATATATACACACACACAAATATATATATATATATATATATATATATATATATATATATATATATATATATATATATATATGATTTGGTAAAATCAATGAGGGTATGATTTGGTAAAAAACTAAACACTGAGGGTAAAAATGAATTAAGATGCCCTCCTAATTGATTTTTTAATTTGGGAGCTGTATTTTTTCTCCGTCAATTTGATTAATTTGAATATTTCTACGCATAGTAACCCTCCAATCAGCATCATTAGCAACCCTATATATATATACACGTATAATGAGGTAGAAGGGCCAAGAGGAACAAATGCTAATCCTATTGCTACAATAATGACGTCATATGTCTGGGTTGTTCCTTTAATATAATATTAACAATCAGGTTATATATACATCATATATATAGTTTTTTATCCTTATCAATTAACAATTAGATTACATATTAATTTAGACAAAAAAGAACTAACTGACCCAAATTAAATTGAGACTTATATTGATAGAGGGTTTTTTTGAGGAAAAGAAAACTGGTGAAGATAGATGATAAGCATGCATAATCATTATCAAAAACAGCTAAAGCAGACGTTGAAAGAATAGGATGACAAAAGATGCTTATAGTAGTAAACAACTGGTCTTAGCATTCGAAAACGGAACCACAAATTCAATCTATCATCAGTATCTCTGACAAACCAAAATGAAATAACTAGGCATCAAAATTGAAGATAAACGTAACTATATCTTGCGAATTTGGGGAACAGATTGCCGTCTCGCACAGTATACCGAGCAAAAGCTTTCAATCATTTCTAATCATCACTGAAAGTCGTCTTCTTCCCTGCAAAATGTAAAGCCCCATAAAAACCCTCCAGTAAAACATTGGTTGTAAGGACCAGAAAGAGTTGGTGATAAAAGATGCCAGTGTTTACCTGCACTAGCTGTACCTGCACTTTGCTTGTTTGGTGTGCCACCACGACCCCTGCCACCTCCACCACGTCCTCTGCCACCTCCGCCTCTGCCACCACGTCCACCACCTCTACCTCCAAACCTCCCCCCACCTCTACCTCCACTATCTCTGCCGCCACCTCGGCCACCGCTCCAGCCGCCATCCCGATTGTCGCTTCTTGGCTTGGCTTCTTCCACTGTCAAAGTGTATCCTCCAAGTTCAGAACCATTGAGCTCAAGGGCCTGGGAGAAAGCATCTTGGTCCTTGAAATCCATGTATGCAATCCTACAACCAAAGTTAAAATATGATGCCATTGATAATATTTACTTGTGCAAATGATACAGGATATCAACAATAATGATATCTAAACATACATAAAAAATGATCATTAACAAACTTAATAAGTTGATGCAGTGTTTACTATAGATTTTGAAGAATAGTCTTAAACACAAATGCTAGATAACTACTGACCCTTTGGAAGCACCACTTTCATAATCCCTCGGAATGGAAACTCGTGTAACATCTCCACATGACCCAAAATGCTCTTCCAAAGAGCTTCTAATCTGTAATGAGCCTCACTCTTAAGAGACAATGCAAAAAGATAACAAATCATGATAACAAATAATGAAGTAATATAATAGAAGAATACCTGATCCTCTTCAAGTGATTTATCGAAGCCTCTTACAAATATGGTTTGACTATTACCCTTACTACCCTTTTGGTAAGAATAATTTTCCCTCCTGTAACATGTACAAAAACCATCATGATCACAGAACATGATGATTCTCTTGCTTCTTTGAACATCTAAACTAGCATTTACAGTCGTATTAGACACTGTGTTAGTTGAGAATCATACCCACTTTGAGGAGTATATGCACCCCTTTCTCGGGCCACATCAAGTCTAACTGCACGACCAAATAATTCTTGACCATTCATTTCTAGTGCCTGCATTAAAAAAAAAAAGCAACCAAACTAACTCATTAGTTGTTCCTAAAAGAATGAACACAAAGCAACCGTAGTTAACTTTTCTATAATGCTGAAAGGAAACTTTTAACATAAACCCACAAACTAAATTTCCAAAGAATGATAGAATTCAATCCACGAAGATTTGGACATGTGATGTTCTGGAGGAACTAAAAATATATGATTGAAAAAAAGCAAGATGATAACAAAATAACACAATGAACCTTTTGAACTGCTTCCTCTGTAGCAAATTCCACATGACCAAATCCCTTGAAACGTCCATCATCTGCTGTAGCCAGCCGCACATCAACAACTTCCCCTGCTTCTTTAAAAAATTCCACTCTGCCAGAGAAAAGGCAATGTAAATAAGCTTTGAAAGTCAGCAAATAAACTCACACAGGCACATCAGGAGAGTTTGATGCAGATTATAAATGTATATTCATATAAATGAATATACAGATACACATGCACGTGTGAATATATACACATTCATGTATATATTGACCATCCCAAACCCCACATTGGCCTCTTGTTAGATGTATACTCAAATATGCATACATATACACATGCACACATAAATCGATACAAAATCAATGAACTTATGTAAACAGTACAATAAAGATGACACATACACATCATCCTGTCCAGCATCAAAGGACAAGTTTCCAACAAATATTGTTCGGGATCCAAGTGTCTGATTTTGATATGTAGCAGGATTTTTTGGCTTACATCCAAAAGCAAAAGAAAAAACATCAGCCAATTCCATTTACAATAACAGAGACCGTAAAACAATTGTACTAGCAAAGTGTACCCCTTTCTTTTCAGTTGTCGTCTTTGGAGTTGCATCCACCATCTCTACATCTTTATCCTGCATAACAGAGCTTTCAAATTAGAAAATCATACAACTAGCAAATAAGAAATCAATATAGGGAAAAAGCAGCCAGACTAAGAACTAACCATAAGATTCTTTCCATGGTAAAAGTTCAAAAATTAATATTTTTATGGGGCACTTTGTATTTTCAAAAATTATAGAATAATCACAGAACAGTTGATGTTGCTCCTTTGTGACGAACCCAGATTTGATGGCAACCTAGTGTCTGTATTCGCCCATAGAATAAACTGGGTGAAGATTCAATTATATGGATCTTGTTTAAAACATGTGTCAATTGCTACATACAAACCATTGGATCTGTTGGCTTATTCTCTATCCACCATCCAAAGCATAGGTACTATGCATACATGAATCCCGATTAATTGATTCGGCCAGCATCATTGACCCAACAATCCAGAAAAGCATCCTAATCTGGATAGACATTCGAAAGTTGATTTGACTTGTTTTGGCCAAAACAAAATCAGTTGTTATTTGGAAATCCCAAATGACAGAAATGTTCAGTCCTTTAAGCTAATCTTAAGCAACCAATCTAGAGTTTTCTCTAATAGATAGTAGTGCATGTGATGGCCTTTAAGCTAATACCCCCACGATCTTGGCACATCATCATGGCATACGATAGAAGAGTACCACAATTACACGCACATTATCTTTCTTGCATATAGATATACATACCATGGTAACCACAGATTGCCACAATAGATACCATGGGTAAGACACTTGGCATTATTATCTCAAAAGAATATATAGAAAAAAAGTACATATTCACACCTTAAACATGGAAGACTATGCTTACTTCATATGTAATATCACTTATCAATGTTGAGAACAAAGTACCTTCTTTGGAGTCTTCAGTGGTTGCTCATCCTCACTTTCGTCCTCAGAAGACTCCTCAGAACTACTACTGTCTTTTGATGGTTGGGTTGCCTAGAAGCATAAAACATACAGATGAAGTATTGACATCCATTTAGATTATGGACAAGATGATGCCAAGTCAAAAACAGATAAAAAAAATGAATAAATAGAACAAGATGTACCTTCTTGGCTTGTTGCACTTTTGAAGGTTCATCATCAGAACTTTCTTCAGAGCTGTCATCCTCGTCTTCATCACTGCTGCTGCTCTCCTTTTTAACAGCCTTTGCAACAGGCATCTGAACATGCAGAACTCACAAGAATAGTCAAATTTTCTAAATATCAACAGATCACAATATTAAGACAACTTGCAACATGCCCAACATTATGTACTCTAAACTAAATGTGTGCTCTAAATCATGTCTTGATTAATAAAATGACAAAATCAAAACAGAATCAAATTCCAAATCAAGAATTTTGTTGTCAGAATCTTTGACATTCATGAATAATGGATTTAATGGCTAAACTAAGTAAATCAAGAGGATTAGAATCATACCAGAAAAAAATTATAATGGATGTTTCATTTTAATAAAGACACCATATAAAGGTCTCTGTATTAATAATATAGAGATCTGACAAATACAAAAAACCCAGCAGTCCATTTAAACTGTGTTTCATAATGCAATGAAAAAGGGCTTAGAGTTAACAAATACATGGGGTTGGCTAAGGCTACATGAAACTTCTACACTCGTTAAGCTCTGCAAAAAAACCCATATATTCATTAAATCAAGAGTATTTTAATCTTCATTTATAATTTATAGTAAAGCCATTTTAGGTCTTCCTCTACATCTCCATTGCATACCACTAATAGTGATTGTTTCACAAATTCTATTTACAGCATCTATAGAACATCTACAGGACTCCTTAGTACACATGCCAAAACCATACCGAAACTAAGAAAACAGACAAAAACCAAATCTTAAAAGACAAAATGAGTATTCTCTTCTCAACAGCAGACTGCCATTTGCACCATTCACACATAAAGGAGACCGACTGGCATCCTATGTATGAAGGTTCTAATAGAACTAACCAAAGTTAATGAATAGGTCAATATAACAAAAAAAATGAACTAGATAAAGGTAAGAAAGAAAATAAGTTAAGCTAGCATTTCATGTTCAATTAAAAACATTACCAAGAGACTGACAATCTTAGGACTGGCCTTGGTCAAATATATATCCTTAAAAATATGATGGCACCTTAAGAGAAAGAAAAAATTCACAAAAAATGTCTGACAACAGAGACATGCTCAACTCCTAAAGTGAGGATATTGATTACAACTTTGCACTAAACATTGCATAAGCCTGGCATGCTAGAAGGAAAAAGACCTATAAAAACTAAACGGTAGAAAACATGTCACCTTGTTAACATTTTGATTTTTGGAAGGTTCATCATCAGAACTTTCTTCAGAGCTGTCATCATCTTCTTCACTGCTGCTTTCCTTTTTGACAACCTTGGCATTAACCTTGCCCGCACTTGAGGGAAGAGAACTCTATATGATAATACCATGATCATCAGTAAAACAAAGACGAATAAGAAAAAATATGAAAAATATGACCAAGAACTACAACCTTTAACTTCTTTTGTTGTGGCTCTTCATCACTCTCATCAGAAGAATCATCAGAACTTTCAACTACTTTAGCACGCTTCTAAGAACATAGTCCCAACAATAGTGTCAAGACCTCTTAAAATCCAAATTATTATAATTATTCATAAAATACTACAAATTACACTCAGAATACCAGAAAATCAGGATTCATATAATCTCAGAATGATTATAAAAGAAATGCAAATTTACAAGTCTTGACAAAAAGAACAATGAAAATATACATCGAAAAACACTTAAATTTTAATACATACCCATACCATTTCCTAATGAAACCAAGATGGTACTCGCATAGCTATGGTATTCTGGCTAATACAGAATTAATAGAAAAGGGACAAACCAACCAGGTCGTGGGAAGAGACAAAGAAGGAGAAATAGGAGAAAAGAGGTACAGAGAGACATTCCTCTCCTCATTCCTCCCTTCCGTAGGGTTCCATAAAACGATGAAAGATTTTATTAATGTTTTCGAATGGTTCTTTCTTGGAAACAGGTTCATATCCTAAAAACCAAAGTTCTGCAACTGCTTTAAGACCAAATAAGCTCTAAACATCAACAAGCCAATTTAGGAGAATTGTACGCGTATGCTGTCTAGCAGCCTGGCATGGGGTCAGTCAGCAATTCAGTTCTAGCACATACCTAGTATCTACCAGGGGGTGTACCTCAAGTCTAATACCTTGGCAGTAGAAGTGAGAAATATACAAATTTAGCAACAATTATCTGAGAATGAAAATAACAAGGTACATTGAGAGGTCTACAGGGGAAGTGAACTGGAAAAATAGTCTAAGATGTGAATGCATGAAGATGGGAATTAACTAATTGTACATGCATCAATCAACCAACATAACTTAATTGTTGCATTTTTCAATGAATCATAATAATAAAATCTACATGGTAATGTAATGAAACTGCAAAGCATTCCTGTAGAACATAAACAAAAGAATGTCAAAATACCTGTTGAGTATCTTTCTTCTCTGCAGCAGCCTGCAATTTTGCAGGTTGACCAGCCTTTGCTGCAGGTGCCTGCACAATCAAAAAGAACAAGCTATATTATCCTGCACCAAACTTTTCTTTACCAATCTAGTTAATTATCTGCACTGATCAAATATATCTTTAAGATACTAATCTTTCTGTCAAGTATAAAGAGCTTGAAACCAGAGAACTAATTAGTCCTATTTCTCTTCACCATTATTCCCATACCACGGAAACATGCTCATCGTAGGAGGCAAAGGAACCTGGTGGAGGCACTAAATCACATTATAAAACTAAAACATGCTATATCACATTAGAAAACTAAAACATGCTATTTCAGAACAGTTTGCATGAATGAACAAAAATTATAATCACCTGAATTTTTATAAAACATTAATAGCCATATTGCACATAATAATCTAGACATTTTTCCCATCAAACGAGACCATGACACAAAATATCAGGAAAGTATTCCACAAAAGTTCTCAGACTTACATTATCCTCATCAGAATCAGAATCACTTTCGGAAGTATCACTTGATTTTTCTTTCTTTTTCAAACCAACTGGAGCTGCTTGCTTCTTGGCTGCTGGAATGACTTTGGCTTCTGCAGGAGCATCTTCCTACAAAATTATCAAGATTAATTCAAGTAAAATAGGCAGGTTCATCATAATTACTTGCATTAGCTTATAGATAAGATCTAATTATAGTATATACTAATGCCAAAGAGAAAGAAAAAGCAAAATAAAACATTAAATTGCCTACTTCATCCAAATCATCCGAACTACTGTCAGAATCAGAACCATCACTTGATTCCTGCTGCTTTTTAGACACTGTAGGTGTACCATTCTTCAGACTAGATGCTGGCAACTTCTTAGGCTCAAGTGCAGCTTTAGCAGGTTTCTGTCATTTAATCCACACTAACCATTAAGCACACACAGATGAGTTTGTCATTTAATCCATACTAACCATTAAGCACACACAGATGACAATTTCAGAAAAAAAAAGATGATAAGATGTTTAGGATTTCTTCATATCAAAAGTCTTTGAGAAGTTGATTACTCTATGTTCCAAGTACATGAATAAATAACACATTTTACACTGTTGCAGCATATTTTTTGCTACAAGGAACTATAAACTCACTTCATCCTCATCTGAATCACTTTCCGAACTACTTTCTGATTTTCCTTTTTTGGTCACAGCACCAGCAGAACCATTCTTGGAGGTAGCAACCATTACCTTCTTAGCTGGAGCAGCCGGTTCCTGAACCAAATGGAACCATCACATATGTATGGTCATAAACTGTGAGAAAGAGCAAGAGAGCATAACTGCCATGACTGTTTAGGGTATTTACATCATCAGATGATGATTCCTCACTACTGCTCGACTCCTTTGCAGGTTTGCTTTGCTTCTTTGGAGGAACTTTAACCTACAATGTCAGCCATCTCATGTAAGAAATTTCAGATATTATTGCTTCCAGCAAAATCAAATTACAAAAAAAGTTATAACATGTTGATTTAGAAAGAACATAGTAAAAACTAGTAAATTTTCTAACAATTAAAGGAAAACCACCAGAAACTACACAACCATTTCCTATCGCATTAACATAATTTGCTAAGTTACTTCAAACCTATTGCATGAAAGGCTCATGGTACAGTCATTACACACCTCCTCTTCAGATTCGGACGAAGACTCATCCTCTGAACTGCTTGTTTCAGGTTTCTTTTTCAATTGAGCCTTTGCAGGTGCCTTTGCTTGTTTACTTTGCTTCTTTGTAGGAACTTTAACCTATAACATCAGATATCTCATGTAACGAAATCGAGAAATTATTGCATCCAGCAAAATCAAGTTACAAATAAGTTACAACATGTTGATAGAAAAACACAGTCAAAACTAGCAAATTCCTAACTAAAGGAAAACCACCCGACACTACCCAACGATTTCTTATTGCATGAACAATGCTTGCTAAGTTACTTGCAACCTTTTGCATGACCGGCTCAAAGTGCAGTAATTACATACCTCCTCTTCAGATTCAGATGAAGTCCCATCCTCTGAACTTGTTTCAGCTTTCTTTTTTGGTGGGACCTCTGCCAACACCTTCTTAGGCTTCTTACTCTCCACCTTTTCGGAGACTTCTCTCTTGTGCTTCTTGGCACTCACTGCTTTCTCTATTGCTTCTTCAGCATCCCTCTTGCCTGAACAATCAAACAATCATACTTCATCAATGCTCAAGCCAAGTAATCAAAATTAGCAGGACCTAGTATGCCAGACAACTAAATTGTGCTGACCTCTTTTACCAGATTTTTCAGACACCACCGGTACGGCAGCTGCTGCCGCCTGCATGATATCAGTGATCAATTAACACCTCAAACAAAAAATATCATCCAAAAGAGCACCTTGAAAGTCCAATATTTACCTCAACACTCTTCTTGTTTGACTTGCCCATTTACTGAGGTAGATGGCAGCTGAGTCTAATACAACAAAACAACCCAAGTCAGCCGAGTGACATGATCAAAATAGCAAATGGCACAAAGATGATAATTTGCACCCTGGGATAATAAGTTAGATAGCATACTTACATAGTTGAGTAGAACTTAAATTCATGTACAAACATAAAAGAGATCCATAACATGCTAGAATCAGTATTTTAGAATAAGAGCAACGGGCTATAATCCAATTTGCATTCAGGGCAAATAAACTTCTTCTAGAAGAACTGAAAACGAAGCAGCAACAGAATCTCATCCACAAGCCATGAAGATACAATCTGTATCGTCGATCCACCATCAAAACGACGAAAGAGTGGGAATATACATAAACACATCCAAGAGCGCTACCCTAAACAACGTCAATCGAGAAGAAAAATCGCCACGGAGAACAAGGAGACACGGTCAAATCGCGTCCGGACGAGGACCAAAACGAAGAAAACGGAAGCGGATCAAAGAACACGAAGGGGAGGAGGACACAAGGGTTAACCTAGCGAGGAGCGCTCGCTTACCTCGACTGAGGAGAGAAGACAAGAGAAGAGAGGAAGGGAATCAGGGAGAGTGCAGGCGGCCAACAAGATCTCCAACCTGGGAGAGTTAGGGTTTTATAGGGAAGGGTGCGGGGTGGTCGAAGCCTCATATAGGAGGAGGCGCGAGCGGTGGGTTTAGATTTAGGGTTTCGCTTGAGCCCGCCGAGATTAACGAGGAAGGGAGACACGTCGGGCTTGGTTCAACCGGACCGAATCGGACCGGTCGTCCGTAGCTATTGGGTGGTGGGTTGTATGTAGACCGCCAACCCGGAAATCGATGGATGTTAAGGTGTGATATATGATCAAATTATATTTGATCTTTTCGTATCGATAAGTATTTTTTTTTATTCCTTGAGCTACTCTTCGTGGAGCATAATAAATTCTAATACAGAAATATTTTTTTTGGGTGTAAATTAGAGAATGGTTATTCTCGAGCATAATTAATCATATGAAAATAATTTAGGTTTGGTTATTTTCTTAATAGCTTATGTATCTTTACCTTGGGGATCAAGTTTTGAGAAAATATGGATTTCACTGGCTAAGAGAAAATGAGAGAAAATTTTCGGCTATATGTGAGAGGGTATAAAGAGGATTTGTGCTTGAGTTACAATCGTACTTGTAATTAGTCTCATGTAGTAAAAATTTATATAATTTTTTAATCAAAATTTTGATTTATTCTTTGATTATTGATATATGATATTTCTATTTAGTTTTGAAGTATTTTGTCATTCCGAAACATTTAAATGGTTATTGATAGAGAATATTCTGGTATCACCCAATTAACAACCACCTTATATCACACATTGTTCCATTCCGATCAAAATAACGTATATATCTCAAAGCAATACGAAATAACACACATATCGATTTAGAAATTGATTATATTTTGAAGTGATACAAACTCAAAAGGGACGGAAAGCAGAATCCATACCGCTCAGAATTGCACGAAGCGTTGCCCAAAAATGAGGAGATAATCCTGCATAGCATGAGATCAAAATAGTCATCCCATAACAAATAAATCACTTTCCTAAAATATCGACGACACTAACAACTTATAGATGATCCATCCCCGAAAAGGTATAAAAACTACCACATAGCAAACGCTAAGAGGAGGGTGGACTACAAAAAAACCGACTTAAGTTTTAGGGCTCTCTCTCTCTCTCTCTCTACACACTAATTCTGTCATACAGTTTATAATTTTATCTTCTCCCATTCGTTAACTTAAGCATCAAAGGGGCTTGTTCAACCTGGCCTGTAATGCAGGACCACCAACGGTTAGGAGACGACCCGACCCCACTGTCAGGATGTAGCCTCGCAACCACGAGGCAACATTTCGACCGGAGGATAACCTATCTGTCCTAAGAGAGGACATTGTAGTTGAGCAGATCTCGGTTCCTCTACATAGCCTCACGGCTTTAAGGCCAGATTAACCCTGGCGAACCGCCTCTCTTGCGGACCTCCTACGTCGGTTTGCCATGTCAGCACTCCCACTTGAGCACAAAGGAGATGAGAGGATGAACCTGCACCTCCAACAATGAACCAATCATATCTACTCACCAGTCAATGGTACTCATGACACCATCATTTTGGTCATAGAAAAAGGGTCGAACATCGCAGACACATTCTCCTGTCACTCATAACGAGCGTTCGACAAAGAAACGTTACCTTTAGTCCCAAGCCCCCTCGAAAAGAGAAGGCACGTACCCCATTTTAATAAAACGATGCCTTTGCCTCAACCTAGGCACCGGGGCCCTACTAGCACCTATTCAATAATCCAACGCTCTCCATCCTCAAGGGCTAGAGATAAGCCCCTTGCTTATCCTGTTAAAAGCATTCCTGAGCCTCACTCAATGAGTCCAGACTCTTACTAGCATAATGCAAACTATCACCCCACTTCTCCCTCAGTTGACTCAGCCAGTAACCTCGGCACAATAGCTTGCCCTCGGATCACCAACTTCACCTCTTCTTCCCAAAGTCCAACTGGGGAGATCACACCTCATCTTCCAAGGATCTCTTCATGCCAACAGAGACAAGTGGCCCCACGCTACACCTTTCGATGGCCAAGTGCAGCATACCGCCAAGACACGTCATAGCCCTGTCAAAGTTTGAGGCCTAGCCTAACAACTCTTGGGAACCCTCGGTGCAAGCTCAACAGTGCCTCCGCCTCATCCTCGGCAATGCCAAGGACAGCCTAGGAATCAGGCTTCAATAGCCTAGTGCCTTTGCCTCATCCTTGGTAGTGCTAGGGACAACCTAGGAACTAGGCCATAGTAGCCAAGCGCCTTTGCCTCATCCTTAGCAGTGCTAAGGATAGCCCAAGGAACCAAACCTTAGTAGCCCAGTGCCTCCACCTTATCCTCGGCAACACTAAGGATAGCATAGGGAACCAGGCTTCAATAACCCTATGCCTTTGCCTCATCTTTGGCAGCACCCATCGAGCCTCCTCAAGCCTATGTTCGGCCTCCTTTGCTAGGCCTCAATAGCTCTGCACCTTCACCTCATCCTCAGCAACTTCCTTCGGGCCTCCTTAAGCTTTTGCTCAACTTTCTTTATTCGTAGCTCCATGACCAGCTCAGCAGCTTGAACCTTAGTAGTGTTGCACCCAGGCATCCACTATTGGCAAAATTCCACAGCAAAAGTCACTAAGACAGATCCATTCCCTAACCCATAGTAGCTAAGTTCAGACCCGACATGGAAGTGTTAGTTATAAGTGCCCTACAAGCCAATCACGTGAGTGATGACATGTGATATGCTGCGATAATCTCTTTACTTATTATTACTAGTATTTTATCACATATTATCTATATGTATATTGTGATATCTTTGGATCTGTACAATGTGAATCGAATTGTGATGAGATCATGATAATGAGACCGATTTGCATTTAAACATAGATCTTAAATCATCTCGGTCATAGGTTACTCGAGAAGAACATCGAGATAACCAAATAGACCAATACGATGTAAACTCATCCATGTGATGGAGGTTGCTGGTCTTATTATCGCTTATGTGGGGACACTAGAGGTATATTGCAAGTGCTCATTGAAGAATGAGTTCATTGATTGATCTGCTTATGGAATACTAGATGGTTAATGATACTTGACGTCAAACAGCGATTTCGTAGTTCCAGTTGTGTGTTTGGTCATTAGACTTAAGACACCAAAGATACCTTATATTAGCACCTCATTCTTTAACGTTGAACCTATAGGTTTGGAAGTTTCAGATTTAGTACAACCGATTCTCGAGAATGACAACCAACCTTACAAAGATAATTGAGTATCAACAAAGGATCATATACTCTTGGTATCATGAGAGGAATATCATGTATGTACTCGCTCAAATAAAATCCCTAGCCATGGTCGTTCAGATTGAGAGAGAAGTTCTCTAGAAGAATCCAACTAGAGCGAGACTCGGATAGGATTTCATAAGGGCCTGACATTACCATGCATAATATACAACTTCTAGGATATTAGATAGATGAGAGACTATAGATACATAGTAATTGAGGATAAATAAGTCCGATGGATTAGATCCATTGTACCATCTGGGGACTATGATATAGTGGCCTAGTATGCTCATAGTTGATAAGTCGAGTGAATTATTATGAAGATAATAATTCACTATATCAGAAGGAGTTCTGATATGATCGACTCACGATCAGCTCAGTATCGGGCCTAGAGGGTCACACATATATGATGGATGTTGCGACAAGTAGAGGTGCAGATATGAGATATTCGCGGAGCCCCTAGTTTGTATCCTATGGATAAGATCCAATTGGATAATTGGATAGAGATCCAATATCTAATAAGGAAAGGATCCATTAAGGGTTAAGCGGCTTGCACCTCTATAAATAGGAGGAGCCTCACGGTTCATAGGCTAGAACTTCTGATAGTCACCCCTCCTATTCTCCTTAGCCTCCTCTCCTCCTCCTTGGCTCCGATAGCCTTGTGGTGCATGTGGAGAGGGAGATCTCACAGCGATCTGAGGAGTGTCATCATTGTGTCTATTATGTGGATCACTACTAGAGAGGAGTACGCGAATTCTCGTTCATCCTCTCCATCGGATCTAAAAATTTCAAGGTATATGATCTCCCTATGTAACACTTCTTAAATGATATATGTGGTTTTTGGTTTTATGATTTTCTCGTGCATAATCATCGCACAATGACTAAGTACTTGACTTTGGGAAATCTAGTTTTGTTTTTATTTTTTGCTACGCATAAGATGTCGATCCGCGATTTTCCAATAGGAAGTCGTGCCTCTAATCACCACACGTTAATGAAACCTGAAGAGGAGCATAACCCCCTAAGCGCATCAAACCTTAGGGTAGTAGAAAGCCCCCTCCATAAAAAAACACCACAGATAATACAAATTCTAAGGGTAAGATGATTCTTCATGTCGTGGGCAAAGCGCCTTAGCCACCTACCGTAGCATCATTCACCACCACTAGTCAGGTATCATGGCAGGTCCACTCTCTCGCTTCAATGCGGTTGAGCCAAACCCCCGGATGGGTCCACTCTCTCGCCTTAATGTGGTCCAGTCAAACCCCTAGACGGGTCCACTCTCTCGCTTCAACGCAATCGAGCCCAATCCCTTGGTGGGTCCAATCCACCGCTCCAACATGTTCAAACCCCTTGAAGGGTCCAATCCATCGCTCCAACATGGTCAAACCCCTTGACGGGTCCAATCCACCGCTCCGAAGCAGTCAAACCCTTTAGCGGGTCCAGCTCCCGAGTTGCGTGTCTTGACATGAAGACTCGAGGGATGCACCTAGGCCGAGCTCATACGGTGCCTAGTTGTGCACTCAGTTTGAAGACCTAAGGCTTGCACATCGAATGAGTAAGAGTTAATGACTTGCTTCCAAGTTATCCACCTCAGCGTGAAACACCGAGAGATGCACCTAGGCCGAGCTTACATGCTTCCTAGCCATGCACTTGGTTTAAAGACCCGAGGCCTGCATCTCGGATGAGTAAGAATTAAAAAGGACTCACTCCTAAGCCATGCACATCGGCATGAAGTCTCGAGGGATGCACCTATACCGAGCTTACACACTCCCTAGTCATGCACTTGACATGAAGACCCGAGGGATGCACCTAAGTTGAGCTCACATGCTCCCTAGTCGTGCACTCGACATGAAGACCTAAGGCCTACACCTCGG